CGGTTTTGCTGTACGTTGACATAGAAAAGCTTCTTGTCATTCCAATGGGACAATACACCACAGTGCCTTCTTCTACAGACTGTTTAGGATCCATTGACATTGAAATCATCAAAGAGTGCTCCAATGCTGCTATCTTGTCTAAGTTTCCTTAATTGCACACAGCAACTAACTGGCATACCATTCTAAAATGTAAGAATGTGTTACAAAGATCAATTCTCAGAATGAAGATATATCAGACTCTATCTCACAATCTTTATGTACAGTTTTTATCAATAAAGCATAAAGTAAAAGATGACATGACAAGACGTTAGCCATTTCTACCTCCAAGATGGGAGATTAACAGATGTATACTTGTGTATTTCTGAGTCCTTCAGACAATCTCTGACGAGCTAGGAACAAGACATTTAGTAACGTAGGTAAGAATACTTTTATCTATAGCTCAATAGTCAAAATCGAAGAATGTTGCGACAGACTCAGGAAGTTGGAAACTTTTTTATTCGGGAAAAAGTTGCAATTACTATTTGATCAGCCTTATCAACTTCCTTTTACTATAGTTTAAAATGTGATTTTGAAATTTTACATTGGTTTAGAGCATTATCATGAATTTTCATGTTTCAATATTGAAAATTGTTGGATTTTAGTTGGAGTTTGTGGTTTGGACTTACTGGGTTAACACTATTTGTATGCATATCACAGTCTCTGGATAAAATCACCTACCCAATATGTGCTATTCAGATACATGTATATAGTATTATTTTGGGGTGGAATAGTAATTTGACATATTGATGATATAAAAGATAGTAACAAACAATAACATGTGTTAAACTTCTGTTTGATCTGTCAGTATTTGAAAGATATGATGTTCTAGAGAGAATTCACTAAGATCAATGTTTCATCTGGAATTTATTGTCTTATTTTCTATAAATAATATCTTATTTACCAGAATAATCTTAAATTCTTGCACAATTTTTTTCCAAAAATTCCTGGGAACTGTCACCTTGTTCACATTGTTGTTTACAGTTCAAATTGTTCATAGTGATGTTTTGATTATCTTTATGTTCACATAAAATTACAATGCTTTGAATGTAATGTGTGTGTTGTCTCCTTATATCAGAGTTGTTTAGAACTTCTTGTTCATGTTGTTGATTATATCAGAGTTGTTTAGAACTTCTTGTTCATGTAGTCTCCTTATATCAGAGTTGTTCAGAACTTCTTGTTCGTGTTATTGCTTATATCAGAGTTGTTTAGAACTTCTTGTTCATGTTATTGCTTATATCAGAGTTGTTTAGAACTTCTTGTTCATGTTGTTGATTATATCAGAGTTGTTCAGAACTTCTTGTTCGTGTTATTGTTTATATCAGAGTTGTTCAGAACTTCTTGTTCGTGTTATTGCTTATATCAGAGTTGTTCAGAACTTTTTGTTCGTGTTATTGCTTATATCAGAGTTGTTCAGAACTTCTTGTTCGTGTTATTGCTTATATCAGAGTTGTTCAGAACTTCTTGTTCGTGTTATTGCTTATATCAGAGTTGTTTAGAACTTCTTGTTCATGTTGTTGATTATATCAGAGTTGTTTAGAACTTCTTGTTCATGTTGTTGATTATATCAGAGTTGTTTAGAACTTCTTGTTCATGTTGTTGATTATATCAGAGTTGTTTAGAACTTCTTGTTCATGTTGTTGATTATATCAGAGTTGTTCAGAACTTCTTGTTCGTGTTATTGCTTATATCAGAGTTGTTCAGAACTTCTTGTTTGTGTTATTGCTTATATCAGAGTTGTTTAGAACTTCTTGTTCATGTTGTTGATTATATCAGAGTTGTTTAGAACTTCTTGTTCATGTTGTTGACTATATCAGAGTTGTTTAGAACTTCTTGTTCGTGTTATTGATTAGAACAGAGTTGTTCAGAACTTCTTGTTCATGTTGTTGATTAAATCAGAGATGTTTAGAACTTTGTGTTCATGTTGTTGATTATATCAGAGTTGTTTAGAACTTCTTGTTCATGTTGTTGATTATATCAGAGTTGTTTATAACTTCTTGTTCATGTTGTTGATTATATCAGAGTTGTTCAGAACTTCTTGTTCATGTTACTGCTTATATCAGAGTTGTTTGGAACATCTTGTTCATGTTGTTTCCTCATATCAGAGTTGTTTTAAACTTATTGTTCATTGTGGTGCTTATATCATAGTTGGTTTGAACATCTTGTTCATGTTGTTTCAATCATCAGAATTGCTTTAAATCTGAGTTGCTCCATACTTATTTTTCATGATGTTGCTTTCAGATTTTCACTTAAGTGGCTCTTTGAACAGATTTTCCATGCTGTTGCTTACTACTGGGCTGCTTTAAACTCAGTTACCTTGTACTTAATGTTCATGCTGATGCTTACATCAGAAATGTTTTGAACTTATTTTTCATAGTTCTACTAACAGAGTTACTTTGAACTTATTGTCACTTACATCAGAAGTTCATTGATATGAACAATAATATCACCACATTAATAAATTTCTTTATCTAACAAAAACAAAGATCCATTACCTGAGAATTCCATTAAAATTCCTGAAAGCTGGACCTACTCCTATCTTGCCTGGTAATACTATCACTTCAGAATAAATGTTATTTTGTTACTTTTATCATCAAAGAAATTAACCTTTTGACATTGACTGTATGGTTATTAAATGATGTTTTTTTCATCAAGTTTTCTTGGGCCATGTCCATTATTTATCTATTGACAAGTAGTATACAGAGTTCTGGTATTCATTATTATCTAATCATAACAATAAGTACTGGTATAACACATTTTTTTTCTTTTACCAACTTAATCATTACTAATATGTGCAAAGCTTATACTGAAAGATACCTATGTAAGCATTGAAAGCTTTGTGGTTTATGACTTTTCATCGTTAGGTTTTATTTATGCTCAAATTTTATCAGGAGGTCATGGTGGCTCAGTAAATAAGATGATTGCTCATTTACTTAAAGGTCCAAGGTTTGGGACAATTAACTAGGCCCCATTTTCTACTAGCCGTGCAGGTGAAAGATCCTTAGGCAGTTGGAAATTAAGTGTTGTTGGTTTCGCTGTTCTGTCAAAGTTTTTCTCATTGCACACTGCTGTTGTTTCATAATGTGCATACAACAGTGATAGGTGAATTTTGTGGTTTTAGTCATCGCAAACGTTTTATGGATTTGTCATTACAAAATCTTTATGATTTTTAGTCATCACAAAATCTTTGTGATTTTTAGTCATTACTAAAGTTTTGTGGTTTTAGTCATCACAAATTCTTTATATTTTTCATCTAAATATTAGTCAATATATAAAGAAATTGAATTGAAAGATTTCTATGATTGGTGCTAAAATAAAATTCTGTGAGAAAAATGAGAAATTTTATATATTTTTTGATATTCCGAGTGAATAATAGCATGAAATTTCAACAGGAAACCTTTCAAATTTTCATCACAAATATTGCGTAATAGTTATTTGAAGGTTATTCATTTGAAAATTATCTCACAGGGAATATCATTAACTGAGTAATACTAGGCATATAACACTAAACCAAGAGTGAAGAAATCTGCCAGATGTAAGGTATTTCTATCAACAGTTTTTACCATAGTAATGGCATACCTTAGTTTTCCTTGTTAATTAAGCCATTGATGAGAATTCTCTCTGTTGATTCCATCATTTCTAATTCTTATAACATTGCTTTTTTTTTTTCATTTATTTTCAATTATTAGAAAGATTTTATGTTTTGGGTGCAGAAAACAGTATAGAAAAGTTTTATTGTTATATTAATGATGCATCTCCCAGTGTCTGTTGCTCATTAACTATCCATTATGAAAATCTTCTTCAATTCAGGAATAAGTCTTTGACTGTGTATGTAAAGGTGTATTTACAGGGTGGGCCATTGGGCCATGGCCTCTGCCTCATGCCTCTGAAATGTCGCATTTTGAAGTGAAAATTTAGCCCTTTACATGCCCAAAATTCTTCTCAGGCCATCTGAAATTTGTTGGCTTCAAAGAGCCTCAGACATGCCTCATCTCAGAGAGATGCCTCTAATTTTTGCCACTACCTCAGGCATTTTCTAGGTATGCCCCTCTGATGGTTACCAGTCAAAAAAAAAGGATTGATTAATACCTTTAGCAAAATTTTCATGTTTTCACTCTTAAATTATTATGTGTGATATTACAATGAAATACAAGCTTTTAACTTCCCAATTATCCAAAATGATGATATTGTTTCTAAAATCAGATTTTCTAACATTTCTGAAATTAGCCAACTGTATATCTGAACAAGGTCTGCTGTATTTATTATGAATAATGTTCAAGGTGTATTTGATATAAACCATGTATTTAACAGTTTGTAATGTTTAATGTTGTTTGATATTAATAAACCAGATGTATTTTATCACTAGAACTAATTATGTTATGATTAGATTACCTTTCCTTACTTCTCCTTATCATATCTCTAGATGTAATGTAATATATTTTATCATTGACTATGGGGTATGTGTGATAAGCATAAATGAACACAGGTAGTTTAAATTTTAAAGGGATCCATTCGACCAGATCAGACCTTAGTCTCAGAAACAGGAATTTTGTACTAAGCAATCAGTGTCCACAGCTCACCATCGAAATTTGAGCTTTCAAATCCATCATGTGTGTCCACATATCTGCGTTTAAAAAGTTATAACACATGTATAGATAGATAGATAGATATAAATAGAAATAGCAAGTAAAATTCATAGTTTGTGGTATGTTGAAGGTATTATGCGATATTATACTTTTCTATTACTTCTGAAGACTCATTATTCCAGTTGGCCCAGCTGTAAATGGCTACGAATAATCCGGAAAGATCAATGCCAAGAGTTTGGCCAACGACCAGCTGGTAGAATTGATCCTTAATTGTGAACTTAAGTTGTTATCCTCATAAAATATCAAAATAACATAAAGTTATTTTATGGATTAACAAATCTGTATTTTCTATTTCAGATTTCTAAGATAGGGTTCAAGATGAATATGTCAGCCATGTTACTCCCACCAGCCCCACCCCCTCCCCCACCAAAACTACAACAAACTACAGAATATATTATAGAGGATCTGATAGAAGCTGGGTTAGATAATTTTCATCTTGAAACACCTATCGAACTAGGACAAGAAGGCTACAAATTCTTTAAAGAATTCTTAGACAGGTAGGTCTTAAAAAGGAAATCATGATTCCAGAACCATTATGTAACCATGGTGATGCTTAGTATTCTGGTCTACTTCTATTTAGACTATACCTTTGTATAGGCTCTTGATTTCTGAGGTGTCTATTGAGTACAAATATATTAGCTTATAAACTTGTCAACTTGACATCAACAACAATAACAAAGTTCCTAAAAGAAGATTAGAACAAGAGACTCTCTGGTCATGTCATTATGGTTTTGAGCAGGGGCTATCCATCTTTCAGATGAAAATGCATTTAACTGCAGACATCTGTTGTAGACTGCAGTATCTCCAAAAGTGTTGTTAGAAATATTAAAACCGACATGAATCATGTTGTTGCTCAGAATTTTAGGCTATGCGATCTTCAGACAACTGATCTCATTACAGTCTGTGTCCCTACTGACAACATTTTTTCTATGTATTTTAGACGAGGTAGAGGAAGAGAAGAAAATTGTTATTTATCTTTTGGTCAAACAGTTAAACCTATTATACAGAAAGGTCCACAGTAAGTTAATTTTACATTTTATTAAATATAACTTAGTTGGTTGATAGAGATGTCTTAGCTGTTGCCTCAAGAGATTGAAAAGAAGTTCAAGGGGAATCAAACATACAACACCTTTTGACTTAGCAGACGACAGTCAAACTTGCCTATAAAGTAGTTATTCTGTATCATTACTAGTAGAATTGTCATATTGTTTTAACTCCATCAAACAGTGGAGAACAACTTTGACTTAATTTTTCATTTCTTTCACAAAAGTTGATCCAACTTTGGTAATTGTATTGTCTAGGTGTGGTATGGTAGCTTTAGCAATGGCTGCCCAATTAATGAACAAGCCTGAAGTCAGTGCTGAGAAAATATTTATTACAGCAAAAATGAAGAATTTTACCAAACAAGGAGAAATTTTCTCTGGTAGGTCAAAAACAATTCAAAAATATTAAAATGTCAAATTTTCCCAAAGAACTTATGACCCTCACAGAATTTCTTGCATACTGTTGATTTGATAAGATACCATCATATGTTGCCCACACATGTTTCAGATACAAAATCATCATCAGGATTTTATCTGGAAATAGGGTTAACTTTCTCAATCATTACTTAAGGGTATGAGCACAGGGCTGTTGATTTGTCTGTATTCTCTGGACATGACCGACAAACCAGCTGTGTTGGACATCAATGAGAACATGCTTATAATGAGCGAAATAAGCAAATTCACTGAACAAGAGTTGAATTAAAGATAAATTGTATCAATGTGTTCAGCAGATATCCTCAAATTGCTGTATGTGTATCTGAAAGAACTCTTGCTGACTGCTTATCCTTAACTTGGGCTGTTTCCTTCAAATATTTTGTTCAAATTGTGCCTTAACTTTCATTACAGCTGAATATATATCCAGATTGGCACATCAAGTGTTAAACTGTCATTCCGAGGTAGTGGAAATGGTCAATGGAAAGAAAGGTATATTACAACAATTATTGAGAGGTTCAGTCTTATTGGTTCCGTATCCTTTTAAAAGCACATCAACTATTGAAAATATGAATTGTGTGACAGATTATTATATGATATGAAAATAATAATTTGAAAAGAATATAAAATATTAATTGTACTATAATTTAATAGATTGTCATCTAATGTGAAAAAGACTTGCAAGAAAATGTACATAAAGTGCTGTTTGTTTATAGAGTCTATATTTTATACAATGGTCAGTTATAATTTGATAAAACAGTTTTGGGATTATTGCCCTTGACATGATAAAACATGCAAACATCATTGTGTTGAATTATTGCGGGAAAGGCTGCAGTTTTCATTTGATTTTGGTGCTTATAACATGATGTATGTTGCCTTTTCTAAGCTATTTTAACTTTTTTAAGATGTAAAAACTCATATCAACAAGACTTCTATTAATATTCTTAGTTGACTTCTATTGTTTTTTCTTAACCTGTGTATAGATATGATGCTGATAGAAATCATGGTCCATGTAAAAAGAAAGGACATAAAGCACATTGGGCCTTAATTTCAGGTAGTATTTAGTTTGTTACTTCCTCACTTCTACATAACAAGTTCCTTTGTAGGACATTTGTGGGATGTCATTTCATTGCTATAAAAATATTTTGTACATCATCTTGATCACGTGATATAGAGAAATTCGATGATGCAGATATCTTTTGTAGCAAAATTTGTCTGAACATTGTCAAATAGATTTTAGGGCCTTTTTTTTCTGACATCATTTACATGCTTTGATTAGGAGTTTGCTTTTCTGATGAATGACCAATTTTAAGAGCTTGTTTTGTCTCAAAATCATTCATGCAAAGGATCTTGAGTTTATCCAAATCTCCACAATGTCAATGTATTACAAACTGTGTCTTATACCTTGACTGCCACCTTTCTTGCATCACAGATTTGATTGGATTGTAAGTTACAGAATACAGCCAATCAGAATTCAGATAGAAAGTCTTTAAACAAGGGCTATTATTTGCCGGTATACAATACAATCCAATCAAATAGTTGCAATCCATGATACAAGAAAGGTCAAGATATAAGACCAAGTTCATAATATCTTGACATTGTGGAGATGATTATCCTTAAAATTGACCTATAAAATTAAATAACTTTTTTGTGTGTTCCAGGCTTCTTCTTGATGATGGATATGACACATTTAAAAACCTTAAAATCAAATTTTACTGCTGACACAACACATCGAAATCTCTATCACTGTACAGATATAGACAATATTAAAGTTTGTGAGGAGGAGCTTATTAAAGCTACAAGAAGTATATTAGTTTATGGACATCAAGGAAAAAGTAAATATACAGGATATTGGTTTCTAAATGACTTATTAGACAGTAATGCCAACCTTCGAGAGATAGGTCCTGAGCGTAATGACAGTGAATATGTGATTCCAACTGGTGGAATTACTGCTGGATTGTGTGGAAAAGTTGTTGGACTAATTAAAAAAGCTAACTGAAATTTTTTTTGCAAATGAATTTCCACCGATTTATTGATACTGAACCGGTACTCTTATTTTACATTTTTGCCTACATCGAATTTTATCACATTTTTAATTATACTTTGTATTGACGGAAACATACATTACTCTTTGAACCCAGAGCGTAAATGAAATATAACGTCATATACCCTGAACTCCAAGTAATAAAAGTAAAAGCGTATGATGCTAATGTTGTATGACATCACTACCGGCTGCTCAGGTATATATTGCATTAGTGTGTGGCCGGTAAACTGGTTGCTAGGGTTGAAAGGGTAAATGTTACTTTTGAAATAAACATATTTCTGTTGAAAATAGAAAATAGAAAATTCCATGCAGAAATGACCTAAATTTTTTTCTGAAAATTTGCATATGTGTTGATGTTTTCAATTTTGTCAACACAAAAGTTATAAGACCATCATGATTTAGAAGCTGCTTTTGATATTCACATCAAAGTAAAGGTCCTCTCACACCATATTGATTACCAGTTGCGAATAATGTAAGTGTGTTCCGATAACAACTCAGTTGCATAAAAGTGTTTGAAACTTTCAAACGCTGTTCTTATTTGCAACTGGTGACGACTATGGTGTGAGCGAAATAAAATTTATTTAGAAACAATAGTAAGAAGTATGTAATAGGTTTTATTTTTTGGATAATCAAAGACAATGTATTGAATAATCAAAATGAACCACTCTCTGGTATTTGTGTATGTCCTTGATATGCCATTTCATATCTTTATACCTTCATTTCACTTATAGGTTATATCTATTCAAATTAATTATGAAGTCTCAAAAGGATATGTTCATCTACATTTACCAGTTGATTAATCTTTTTTTCAGCTACCCTTATATATACCCTCGAATATAAATCGAACATCTGGCAAATTCTGCCAAAATTTATTGTAAAGATAGAATGTATTTAGCATTCCATCTGTTTCATTTAGCCCATTCCATAATTTCCATAACCAAGCTTCAATCCTTTTTTTCATAAAAGATTGGAGTAATATCCAAAATTTTTAATGAAAATCTTTTCAAAACATTATACTATAGTGTACACATTGGATTAGGTCTTGTATTGGAATATGAGGTCCCAAAATGCCGGAACCAGTAAATCAGCTACCAAACCAACAGCAACAGAATCATCCAATTTGAACCAACTACTATCAACTAGTGAGTTTGCGATATCAGCATTAGCTAACAGCAAACATTAACGTGTCATCTACCAATAGATAAAGAATGAAGCTTGGCATTCCTCTTACTCCTCTTGATGTGTCAAAGGTGCACAAGCCTCTACATCAAACCCTTGATTCTACATTCTGATATTATAAATATATGTTACATACATCCTAGTTCAAAGTAGTTCAGCAATTGAGTATAATGGCTTGTGCACCTACAATGCTTAAGCTTATTATACCAACCCCCCCCCAGTATATTGATGTACATATTTAGCTGAGTTTTGCAAAAAATAGAATTGAATTAAATCAAAACCGAAAAATTTGAAAGTTTTTTTGTCAATAACTTTATTGGTCAGTCCTTGAATGAGAGGTCATTATTAACCATAGAGCAGATCTTGTGATAAAGTTATTCCCAACAATGAATTACTTGTATCATTGTATATTTTATAATGCTGACAATGTTACTTATTTTGATATGCTTTGGTCTTACCAATAAATATTCCTTATTTAATAGTCATGTTTATATGAGTAGCCTAGCGACACCAGTGGGGGTACAGGTAAAGATCAATTTTGGGAAAAATTTCTTGTGAGAACCATTTTAAGCTCAGACGGTCTAAATCGGACCTCGACAGTTGTCCCCCCATGAGTCAATCTGCCCCCTATTTTTACACCCAGTCTCAGGAGTCTTAAGGTCAACCCATAGAATTACAATCTGTGAAAGGTTGCAAGAGGTGCCCCAGTTGTAATAACAATGTGTTGGAAAGTATACCTTACCTATATTGTGTTATTTCAATACATCCCAAAAAACACCAAGTTATATATTTAATAATGTTTTAATTTTGATGGTAAATAAAAATCGATTTGACTTGATGACAAACAAATATCTTAATTACATTTAACAAAGTATAAATTATGCAAAAATTATGAATTTCTTTAATGCACAAACAAATCTTCATTTTGTTTCACGCCAAATGAGATCCCTTAAAAACTGGAAGAGCAAATATTATTTACTAATAGTGCACTTTTTTATCCAGTTTTTCAAAAAAACATAGCCATCAAAAGTTTAAATTATCAACACTTAGTTTACCATTTACCATCATCTACGACAATTTGCATGTTCAATGATAAATTTGGCAAAACAATCTACACTTTGGAAGCAAATCATATTACCTAGTTCATTTTCCGAGTTTCTGAGTTTAGGATAGATATTTGTGCATATCAGGACACAATCAAAACGAAAAAGGTCCATAAGCACGAACAATTCACCTTGTTTTTGGGTAGCATAAATCTGGACTACATAATTTCAACTATTTTTTCTTCCTCAACACAAAACAGACTGCTCTTGTTTATGTCTTAAATATTGGCTGTGCGTGCACTAACTGCCTTGTCAGACTATTCTGGTAAAGTAAGAATTTCTTTAATTTTTATTTACTTTCTGACTGACATGCAAACATAAATATATACTGTTAACAGTTCAAGCTGATAAATCATGATATTGCATTATTCCAATTATTAATTGAGTAAAATCACTGGAAAATGATGAAATAAAAGTAAATCAACATAAAAAGCCATGTGATCTTTTCATAGCCCAGCCTAAATGATTATTTCCATTTGTGCCTAACAAACACCTATATTTCATTAAGTCTAATCTAAAGAAAATGACAGAGAATACTTACCTGGCCTGAAAAAATCTAAAAAAAATGAAATATTAGTATGAAATTTGGATTAATTCATTCTTTCTCAAGAAAACAGATATTTTAGAACAAATCCCGTTAAAGTCTATTTAACATTAAACTTAGAGATTAAGCTAAGAATAATTTATGGTTGAAAGCTCAAAGTGTAACGTTATTTTTCTAGGAAAATGGATGAATTCTAAAATCAATTTGAGTATATATTTTCCAGATTGATGCTGAATAACTCATTCACCAAGTGAAATCAGGTGTTTAATAGAATAATATGTAAACATCAAATACCAAGAATTTGTTAAGAGTACAATTGCGTTGTGTAACCAAAGTATTTCAAATCATGTTCATTTTTATTAAAACCCTTTACCTCTACTGCTGCATGTATTTGTTTTCTGGAAATGGAATCAAACACAGTCAGACACTAGTCGCAAATATATCTGAACCTGAGAAAGAATGAATAAAGTAATATAATCTAGGCTATAAACACAATTCACAATTATTGAACAGAAATAAGACAATGTTTATTATCATTCATCAGCTGGTTCATCCTCCATATTGTCTTCTCCATCTTCAGCCATGACAATTTTTCTTTCTCGCTCAGCGTGGCTTTCCCGTTCAGCTTGGCTTTCCTGATCAGCATGGCTTTCCCTATCAGTGTGACTTCCCCGAGATGGATCAGATTTAGATAAGTCTTCAGACACCATGGCTTCAAAGAATTCTTCCTTGGACAGTTTTTCTGATGGTTTAGCGTCTTTAGGCAAAGAAGCTGATGTGCTTTCAGTTTGAACTGTGCTTTCAGATTCGGGTTGTGGTATGCGTTCATCTTGATTGTCTCTTTTTTGTTTAGCAGATGTTGAAGTATCCATGTTGTCCTCGTCATCAGTATCATGACGTGTGCGTTTACGTTTCTCATCCTTATGATGTCTGGAGTGTTTGTGTCTATCTTTACGATCCCTACTTCTTGAGCGTCTTTTCTCCCGTTCATGGTGGTCTGAGCTTCTGCGTTTTTCGCGTTCTGAGCGTGAACTAGTTTCATTTTGCCCTGACTTAGTCCTATGTCTTTCCCTACCCTCCTCTTCTCTTGAGTCTCTATGTTTATCAGTCCTTTTGGAATCAGATTTACGTCTTGAATGTTTACTGCTGTCCTTGTCTTGTGCTTCTTTGGCTGCCCCACCTACAGTATTGACCATACCCCCGTCTTGCATTTCAGCATCTTGATTTTCATGAAGACCCCCATCCTTACCCTTGTCCTTGTCACCCTCCTCATTCTTAGGACGCTTGCTGCTTTCATCCTTTACAATAGCTTGTCCGTCAGCATCTTCCTCCTCCCCCATTTCTACGTCACTGTCATCCCCCTCCCCTTCACCGTCTGCATCCTTTTCCTGTTTGATACCTGAAACATTAAAATCAGACATTGGTTCACTCTTTACCACCACCTCATTTTCCTTGTCCTCCCTCATAGACGCTTTATGTTTATCTATAGCCTGTTGGTCAGTCTCCTGGTCATCCTCATGGTCATCATCATCTTCATCATCATGATCTTCCATATCACCACTAGCATGTCTAGCTCTCTCTGCTATACGAGATCTGATTCGCTCTTCACGTTGACTTTCTCTGGTCATCATCTCTTCAATTTCTGACTCCATTTTCTTCTGTTTTTCATCAATCAGCTCTGAAAGGAAGAACAAATTTTCATAGTTCTTGATTAACATCTGTCCTCTTCTTCTGATGTTGACTGAAAATTCTGACGATGAATGGGTGGTCATATTTTGCACTGAATAAAGTTTCAAAGGATGGAATATATCTAGGCAGTATGATTGAAATACATCATTGGATATTTGGTTTTGTATTCTGTGTATTACTTCATTCATGCCATGATCTGAAGACATCTTTACTAGTGTCATGTTAAAACATTCAACTAATCAAATGTAGAGCTTGGGCAGTATGTGTTAGGAATTCAACCAAAATATTTTGGGCCTTATTTTATCTTATAACATTTGAATTTGAAAGCAGAACAAAAAGCAGAATATCCTACTTTTAACAAAGATTTCAGAATCTTTCAGCTTGTTATCATCAGAAGACAGAAGTTTCTTAGGCATATAAAATATATGTGGTTTAGATTTGGTACTGAGAAAATTAGACAGTTTCACCATTTCTTTCTCTATAGCTTCATGCTGAAATGGATAAAATTATGGTTCAATGCTTCTTAACCTCTCAATTTGTCAAAAAAAGACATCAATCTTTGAGCAGAATTTAACAAAATTTGAAGAAAATGAATATTTAAATCTTCACACTTCAGAAAAAGTTGGCAAAATTGTTCCAAATCAGTGCAAGGATTTCTAAGTTTAGAATCATTTGGATTTTGATAGAAACCATTTCCTACTCTTTAATGTCATGCAGTTTACAAATAGATATAATGAAAATGAGTTTTATGTTCAACGTTTCACTGACAAATGAGAATCAGAAATAAGAAAAACATCAAGTTACTCTCAGAGGTCCAGACATCATAACCTAAACATTTCATCATTTTCTCTTTTGATGTGTGACAACATTTAGGACAAAAACACTTGAAATGGATCCAGCATCTAAATGGCAGAACTGAGCACAGACAACATACCCTAGGTCATTAGCCTTCTGCCTTGCAGACATTACTACATTATCTTTCAAATATATAGACTGTCACTTCCAGCAGTACATTATTTCATTTAAATACAGATGCACTGAGTTCACAGATTTCATTCTGAAAATTGCTTCTGATATCTGAAATCAGCTCCATAAAATTTCCAAAATTTTTCAGAAAATATTTATACTTTTGTCAGAGAAGGAAGTAAGGGTGCCTTATACAAAAGACAATTTGCTATCAGTGTCAGGATTAGTCTTATACAATTCCAATTTCAACTTACATCCTGGACAAGTTCCATCTTCTGTTCTAATCTTCTTATCTTGGACTGTTCTAATCTCATCTCATCTAATAAATTCCTTGTTTCTTGACGAACTCTGACTCTTTCTTTCTCTGCCTTCTCATCTAATTTCTTTTCTAGTTTCCGTCTTTGATCATCCTAATAAAACAATTGATATTATAGCCAATTACTTATCATCTCTCATTCCACAATGCATGGAAAAAGGTTGCATCAAAAATGTTACATTTGGACATTAAAAACATTTTTTTAGCCAAGAATTGTTGTTACCTTGTCCTTATTGTCTTTGGCTTCAGTTTTAAATCTTTGTAAAGTACCTAATATCATACCAAACATTCTCCTATTTCTGAAAATGTAATGAAAATATCATAAATACTTTATGTGTACAGAATTTCTTAAAACAAACACAGTTACTGCATGGCATTTGAAGTTTAAAAGGAATTTGACATAAATCACCAGATGTCTTAACATGAATGGTAAGTAAACAATTAGATTTGGATGTCTGAATATGGAAGGAAAATAGACATAAATTTGGTCATTGTCTGAAGATGAATGGAAAGTAGACATACACATGGATGTCTGAAAATGAATGGAAAGTAGACATACATATACAATTGAACATACATATTGGAATGTCTGATGAACAGAGAATGGTATTGTCAAATTTATTTATTCATAAAGACAAATATTTACCTGGCCATTCCTTCTCTGTCTTTACTTTGTTTTTCCATGGATTTGGTGCGAGTTTCGATAGAGGCAGCTACTACAGATGATTGGACAGTGTGCTAAAATTTAACAGATGAACATTTGAAATGTAAAACCTAAACATGATATTGTCACAATGTCAAGCTATTACATACCTTGTCTTATGCCATTAGTATATTCTGTTAGTACTTGGTTTATTTATTACCCTGACTGCCATAGTCACTTTTCGTGTATCATGGTTTGATTGTATGGTAGCAAATACAGCCAATCAGAGCCCTCGACAGGAAGGTTGTTAACACTATGTTATAATGTTTAATTTCTATCTGTTGTAGAATATGATTGGCTATACTTGCCTGCATACAATCCAATCAAATCACTGCATCACTGTGATACAAGAAAGGTGGCTATTGCAGTCAAGGTATTAGTTGTCAGAGTTCATATTAGCTTGACATTGGGAAGAGGAAGATGGCCTCTGGTAAGGTTCCTGCCACTGAGCTTTCAACAGCTGATTTTACAATATGGCAAAGATATTTGTTTTGTTCTGGCTGCCAAACTTAATTCTTGTATTCTTGTATTTATTGATATTAGGACCATCATTATCCTAGTTTTTATTACACAAGAAAAATAATTTTTTGACAAAAATAATACCTTCTGGTCATCTTCTTCATCGCCACTGTCCTCTCGTGGTCTAGCAGGTCTTGGTCCCAGTCTTAAAGACAAATTACAACAAAATTGATAAAGGGTTACTTAATGGGCAAGAGCTCATCTCATTGCACTCACATTACAAATATATATCTTTATGGGGACAGTTTATTTGGAGAATGGGACTCAAATTTTTCAACTTTCATAACAAGCAATCTCTATAAATTAAGCTTAAATATAAAGCTGTATACTGTATATTCTTGTATTGAATAATATCATCTTTACAAAGCAATTACAGTTAAAAGTGCTGCCTTCCAAATTGCAGCAGTAAATAACTTTCAATTAAAAGTAACAACAGAGAAATTCTTTTCACCTTGAAAACGCTCCTCCAACTGAAATTCTTCTTTTGACTGGGGAACCATCCTGTCCGCCCATATTTCTTCTACAATAAAACACATTGACACCATAAAAAAACAAATGATGACTATTCATATCATAATACAAAAAAATATTGTTAGCCTTAGCTCAATACTTAAATCAGAGATATATGTCTTAATGTAAGATAATAATAGAGAAATGTACCTGGCTGCATTGAATATTCTCTCCCTACCTCTACCATCAGCACCCACTGTTCTACGATCTCTACAATGATAAACAATTTAATTAGCTATCTATTATCACATACAATATCATTAGAATTAGATTAAATACTATTCATTGCCTAAACTAAATGACTGACTAAAAGCTTATTGAAATTGTTTATTGCAACGTAACATATGCAATAGATTAACTCATTTGGCAAATGATCAAGGATTCCGTCCTATTATAATCTTCATCATGATCAGTCCCACTTTCACTTTCAGATTATTGTTCAGATTAAAGCTAAGAGAGTTGCCTCCCCTTTCTAATATTTCCAAGAGCAGCATCTTTTTTGATGATTAACACAAAAATACACAATTCCAGCATCAAAATAAGTTACCTCGGTTCGTCCGGATCCCTGCCTGTTATTCTCTTTATATTTTCATTGACATCTTTCAGTCTAAACTTTGCTTTTTCGAGTTCTTGTTGTAGAGCTAAAGCTCCACGCATTTCTTCGGCCATCTTGGAAGTTTAAAGTTTCCAATCAGAAACAAGATTTAGCAACTAAACGAACTATTTTATATTTCTGAAAGCACAAGAATAATCATTATCTATTGAACTGAAAGTGACAATCAATATATTTCTTCTCTTATCACCATAAATATTTTCAAAGCTTCATAATTTTGATCTTGAAAAATCTACAAATTTTATAAATATACGAAATACTTTCGCTACGTTCTAGAAAACTTTGAGTTAAGGTTTTGTACGTTTGGTATTTCTTTTATACTCAACAAATAATAAATTTTCTTTCTCCGCCCCTAAAATCCATCTGTAAATTGCATATTAATGGAAAATGGCTGATGAAGTATTATTTGACTTTCTTCATATGGAATTAGTTTCTTATATACACCAGTCTTGTTCGAAAGAAGAGAATTCGAAGGTAATTATTTGTCACTCATAGCCTACCTTCTGAGAGTGAGACTGAACTGTGTATGTCTATGGAAGCTGACTGTGGCCATTAGGCTATTATGTAATTCAATTTGGTCTATAAGGCAATATTAATCAACATCTGTTATAATTTTATAGTATTATAGTGTTATTCCAGTTCATGAAAATTTTTGGTTTTATTTCAGGATATCAGTATTTCTAGATTAGAATCCATCGGTTTCAGAGTTGGTCAGAGTTTGATTGAAAGGTGAGCATATAATTTATCCAATTTATGACTTAACTTTCTGGGTCGGCCTACGGTTGTACTTCAGAGACTTCTCTCCCTATAAAAACCAAACTTAAGCTGTCTTTTATCCATCTACTTTAGCTCAACTCATGCTACTGGTACTGAAATCGGTTTAGAGATATATATTAACATTATCATTCAATTAGTTGACTTCTTGTCCTCTTCAAATGTTAAAGTTATCTCCCTTTCAACAGTTTTCAACAGAATTGTAAAACTTTTTTTATTTCATTCTTTTTTCATTCTTTTTTAACAGATTCACCAAAGACAGTGCTAGATTTAAAGATGAATTAGATACTATGAAATTTATATGTAAAGAATTTTGGAATGCTATTTATAAAAAACAAGTTGATAATTTGAGAACAAATCACCAGGTAAGGCCATTTTGAATTACAAGTAGTGAAATACGCCTCAAATTTACTTTTTTTTGGTCTGGTGGTATAATGATATTTTATGTCCTACTATTTCGCACCTGATTGGTGGACAAGGGCCATGTTCTGTTCAAGGAGGAAATTTGTCAAGACAACAGCATTAGCTTGTAGCACACGAGGCCCCAGTTTATGATGTGTGATGCAGCAAATAGGCCTATATGTGAAATGAAATAAATCGATGTTGATATAAAGCTGAACTTTCCCTTGATTTTGATATTTTTTTATTGAACCAAGCCTTATTTTTCTAGGGTGTTTATGTTTTACAAGATAACAGATTCAAATTTTTAACACAAATATCTAATGGAAAACAATATATGGAATCAGCTCCAAAGGTATGTCACTCTGTTACAAAGTAATAAGGGGCTCTTCCGTATGTCATATAAAACACTTCTTTGTGATCAATTTAGGCTTAATGAATTTTTTTTTAGAATTGATTGGTGACTAGTATATGTTTCACAGAAAAAGTAATTATTTAGAATAAATATAATTGGATATAGTCCAATTTTCAATTGCAGTTCACCTATCCTTAATACTTTTCAAATCGAAAATTAGGTTTCAGGTTTCATGGTAAGCAAATAATCAAAAAAAAGCAAGCAGAAGTGACCGAAGTCTTTATTGCGAGGTCATTATTAACATTCTCATAACTTCTTATTACCTGATTAAAAGATTGAAATTTTGAAGTCATATTTTCAAGTGAAAAAGTGCTGAAATAGTTTATAGTGAAATTGAGATCTATCAGCTGATAAATATTTAGATATAAAAATGCTCTCAGAATAGCATTGTGTATATATATATACAATGTATTAACATTCACCCAAATTCTGTTTCTATTTTCAGTATTTAGCCTTTCCCTGTGGTTTATTAAGAGGGGCGTTATCTAACCTAGGTGTTAATTGTATAGTCACTGCAGAAGTTAGCGCTATGCCAGCCTGTAAGTTGTTTTCTGAATTTTCTAATTATTTCTGAATAAAGCTTAAAAATGTCTGGTTCCTAATTAACAGTCAATATTAAACTTTAAGAATCTGATGTAATTTCTCAAAAATGTCTGGCAAATAAATTGAAATCAGCAGACTTGATTTTTATGATTTTAACAAATAAATATAAATGTGCAGAGATAATGGAGACCAGTCAACATTAAAGAATATAATTAGGGCCTACCAGGCATGACTGGCAATTACAGCAAAATCAGAAACCCTTATGATTTCAAATTAAGAATAAGTATTATATGAACACAAGGAATGTATTTAATGTATAAAAGTATTGCCAGTCAATATTAAAGAATATAATGTAATTTCTAGTTGGTAACAGATGATATTGATTTCTATAGAGTATAAGACAGATTTAACCTGTTATCAATCTATACATAGTAATTGATCAATTTGTATCTCACTGATTATCCCATAACAATAATACACAGAAAAATTCTATAATTTTAAAGATTTAAAATAGAATTTTACATCCTGCATATTGGGTATATATTAGGAAGCCAATGCTCAATGCTGTGCTGTGTGGAATGAGGAAAATTTTTGTCAGCAAAGCCAACCAGATTTGAAATAAGTAGGCTTATGCTAATTTTGGCTCAAAATTCGAGCCAGTTTCCCTCATTGATCACTGCATGTAGCAAAATAGTAGGATTTAAAACTCCATTTCTATTTGATATAATGTGTATATGATTATAATACAGTACATTGACAAATCTATAATTTTTGCATCATTTTAGGTAAGTTTCAAATACAGATTCAGAGAGCATAATAAGAAAATTGAGTTTTAAAAAAATGTGCAACTATCATCAAGGGAATTGGGTTTGAAAATGTGTTGTGACAGCCAAGATATGTATTGAGCAATTTTATGAACAATTTTGACAATGCTGATAGTGGAGGTTTACTTTTGTGACATAAGAAACATTATTTGCTGTCAAATATTAACATTTAAGAAAAATATTTTCTCCTAATTTATTTTGACATTGTTCATGAACTGTTCATGTTCGTAAGTGAACATTTTTGATTACAATGGTATATGCTTTTTTCTGTATGCTAGAACAACATTTTGTTGCATTGTGTACTGTTCATGTTTGTAAGTGAACAAATATCCTTTCTGGAGGTACTAATTTTGTGTATATTGGTATACACTTTTTTCTGTATGCTTGAATGACATTTTGTTGCATCATTAAATGAGGAAATTTTTATTTAGAAAGGGAAGATGTGAATTGTTATTTTATTTTATTAAATTATGAGATAGTATTGTTAAATTATTTTGTACAGATTTAGTAGGTTGTATATATTGTATTATAATAAACAAATGTAATGAAATTTTCCTTTTAAATTATGGTGTATATTTGACAAGACCTCATCTCCTCGGGCACCTTCATAATGGCAAGTTTAAGCAAATGTGCAAAGTAGACAAATATTTTAGGAGCTCCTTAAGATCTCCTAAGCTGAACAGATTATTAAGGGCAATGGTTCACAATTTGGGTCTTGAATATATGTAAATAGTCTTCAAAAGTACAACAACTGCGCGAATATCGCATAATCCCTTTAATTATAACTCATACAAGTCATTTCACTTTCTATATGGGCACACATGGATTTGATGGCTCAAACTTTGACTGATAAGCTTAGCTAAAAACAATCCCGTTTCTGAGACTTAGTTACCATTGGTCAAACGGGTGGTAAACCTGTCCCTTTAAGCTGTGAAAAGACAAAATCCAGTTTCCATGACGGGCAAATGGAAATTAATACATAAAATACAGTGGAGCCGGTTGTTGTACAAACTAAAATTTGTCTGACTACAGTCTGGAATCACTTTAAATAGAGACTGACTGACCTCTGCTATGTAAGGCATTAACCAAACCCAACCCAAGGAATGGCCATGCCTCTGTGGAAAAATTCATTGAAATTTGCTTAACAACAATAAAATATTTTATTTACAATTTAATGCTGTAAAATGAAACAGATTTAAACACTGGGAAATATAAACACTAGTTGAATGGGCCTTGACATTTAAGGTGGGGTAATAAACTAAAGAATATAGGTTCTGAATTAATTCAAAATGGTTAAATAATACCCAAACTGGTAATGCTTTTTTCGAATAACAGAAACCACAGACCTTACGATGGGAAATTGAATGGTACTCGAAGAAGCTATGTGCCAGATACAAACAAGAATGCAGACTCGGAGTGACATTAGGTGTTCTAGAAGAGTGAATATGCCCTGCTTCCACACCCTCACAATAATTATTGTAATCTAGATCAAATTTTATAAGCCTTAAAGAGTTTGATTTTGTGTCTTGAATATATGTAAATAGTCTTAAGAAGTACTAGAAATATACCCAAATCACATAATTCCTTCAAAAATACATCAAACTGTTAATTTCTATGTCTTTTCTATATATGGCGGAGTCTCAAGAAAAGATGAGTCATCATTTTAACTTTTAACATAATTCTGGGCACGCATGGATCTGAAGGCTCAAATTTTGACAGTGAGCTGTGAACAATAATTACTGATTATCTTAGCTACAAAATTCTAACTTGTGAGACTAAAGCAAGATTTGTCAAATGGATGGCAAACCTGTCCTTTTAAGACTCAAAGTATACCAATTAGACCCCCAGTGCTGTGAATAAGACACATGCTGAACATAATTTACATTTTCAATCTATAATGAAAAGATACAGCAGTTATAATACCCTTTAAAACATAAATTTAATGGTTTGCCATAAAGGTGAGTAAGATTATAATTTGAAATGCCCTAGGTCACAATAATTATACAATATAATTGAGTTCAATCCAGTATAAATCAACTTTGTAGCAATATTATTACAATAGCCTATAATAAAGATCAATAATGTATTTAAAGTTGTATTGTCCTATAAATAAGTTTCATATTCAGTTTAAAGTGAATTCTACTGGCCTGTATCATTAATCAGAATGGAAATATGATGTTCAATTTATCTGAAATCAAAATTTACTAAAATGGTGATCTTGACATATTTGTTTTCCTTCTGCAAGTGACTTCACTCATCATCCGTAATCTGAGAAATTCCTCTATAAATTGTGTTCCAGTTTTACAAAATTTGCAAGATAATAAATAAAACAAATAAAAATCAAAATTTAATGCTGATAAAATATGACAAATCTAAACATATCATTTCTCAGATTTTGTCAGTACGCAGAAAAAAATTTCACAGAACACAATTTAATAAAGAGTGTTGTAAGATCATGGATAGCAAGTGTAGTACTGTAACTTAGAAAAACACAAAACAAAACATCAGACCTGTATTTATATCAGTTTGAAATTTTACACATATATTACTGAACATATTCATAATTCAATGTAATCTACATATTAATAAACAACAAATGAATATTCAATCTGAGAGGCTATGAATAAATTAAGTTCTTTTAAAATAAACTAGTGGAATTCATCACTTTAAAATTGAATAATATCTATAAATAAACATCTGGAGGTAAAATAATGAGAAAAAATAAAATTGATATTTTTAAGTCAAATCTTGAAGCAGTATAATTCATATTAAATCATAGTAAGATATTGTAGTCAAAGATGCAGATCTTGGTAGCAATGACTTTTGATTTTTAAAGAGACTGTTCCATATTTAATTTGGAATAATTTTGCATAATAAAATCTATGATTTACCAAAATTTCACATCATTAGAGGTCTATATTGGGCTACATATTTTGTTTGCTAGCAAGATAGACTTCTGTTACCTGTATTACTTTTCAGAAAAGAAATCTGGCATTCTGTTCTGAAATTCAGCAAAAACAAACAGTGGAAGTTGTCCTTGGAAAACATAATGTGTCTAATCATTATACTTCTTTAATATAAACATAAAGTGAATCAGTTATGAAATCAATAGAGTTTCACTTATTCTATAAACTAACAACATAAATATTTAACAGTTGACAAGAGTAAAAACAACCCACACCCCCAAAACACAAATACACTATGATCTTTTGTAAGTGAGAAAACAAGACACATTAAGCAGAAGATAATATATTGCAAAGTAATAAACTTGTAAAATCATGTTTTCAGTTATAAATTTGTTAAGTTATCATGTACAGTTATCAAGATGTAAAGTACAGTAATCCTGTACACTTATCAAGTTGTAAAATCATCATGTTTTCAGTTATAAATTTGTAAAGTTATCATGTACAGTTATCAAGATGTAAAGTACAGTAATCCTGTACAATTATCAAGTTGTAACATAATCACATAGCATATTGTAAATTTGTAAAGTACAGTAATGAAAATTCATTATATTGTGGAGATATTATGTTAATTATTATATATAAGATAACAGACTAGACATATGGAATTTATCATTCAGAATAGCTACATTTGTACACTTACCAAACAAATGGATGTGCATATAAGTGTACAACTGAGTAATAATGTCATCATAAAAAGTTGCTGTGTTAAGTTTGTACAGTTGTCACATAGTTATCTTGGTACAGTTTACTATCATAATTCACAATCACATGTATCATGTCAGGTTACCATGTTTGACTATTACAGTACAGTATTTTACAGTGATATTATTTGCTTAATGAGTCTTAGTTTCAATGAGGCACAAAATGAGAAAATTAATCAGGGCCAAAACTAATTTGTCCTGGACCACCTTTCTTCATATAGCGTCTATAACTTTTATAACGTGCACTTTCAGCAAGCTTAGCTTTCATTTCTTCATCCTGCTGTTGTTTCCAGACCTTAAAATTGTCTTTCTTCCATAATTCTTGATCTAAATAATCTAGTTTATCATCTTCATCAATAGCTTCCCACTGAGTTGTACCACATTTCATATATTTTCTAATAAGGTATAGTTTTTCCTCTTCGCCATACTCCTCACGTTTGATTGTAAACTTCCATGTCCATTGAAACCACCATACAATATACATTAAGAGGTAATATGGTAAAAATATAATTTGAATCCATAACACATCAGTATATTTAGGTCTCTGATATCCACCTCGAATGTCCATATTCGACTCGATGACTTCTCGAATGATCTGTTCCTCATCTTCTTTAATTTTGACTCTCCGCGACTTTCCTTTCATTGATGGATTGCTTAATTTGTTTTCTTTCATAGCAGTGTCAATCGCACGAGATCGATATTTTGGATCCTTACATAAATAATCAATGGCAGCGTTGTAATTACTCCAAGCCCCAAAATATTGGAATACAGATACTATAGAAATGGTAACGGCAATGACAATGCGAATATCGACCTTTGGCGCCAAACGATGCTGATAGTAATAGAAATAATGAGAATAATATTCATCAGGATTGTCCAACATGTAGTTATAATCCACACGCTGTTCATCATCTTTGAGTATTTCATAGGCGTTACCAATTTTCTGAAACTTTTCATGGGCTTCTTTCTTGCCTTCTTCTGTTTTATGTCTGTCAGGATGCCATTGTCGCGCCAGTTTACGATAGTTTTTTATAATTTCATTTTTAGTCATGTCTCGCGTCGATTCCAAAATATCATAGCAATTTTCTCGACCACAATATAGCCCATCAATATAAGCATTTACGGTAAAAACACAAGCAAACCAACACATTAAGCCTAAGAGTCTTGCTCCCATAACTGCCATTTTTACTTAATCACCCTTTGACCTACAAAATATGAAAAATATCGAAAAAAAAAATATTTTATTAGTATTAGGGGTAGGCCTAGACAGTAGGCTTACAACTTATGTAGCAGGCTTAACAATTTCAATTAAGGCCACCAAATGGAAATTATCACAAAATCACAGATAGTTCCAACCATAGGTTTCATCCATAAATATTGGTACAATAAAAAATTGAAAAATCAAGCATGTTGGACACCATGACCATGTTGAGAAATTGATAGAACAAGTCAAAAAGAAAAAAAGAAATGACATACCGACACTACTGGTGTAGAGAACAAAATCCGACAAGATGATTGCTTGGCTGCTAACAGGTATTGTGTAGATCTCAATCAGATTATGTCCATTCAACAAAAAGGCGACACGTGTGCCAAGTTGATCAATTTTTCTTGAAGGGAATTATCCCCTCAGGCTTTTTCTGTTGTCGTGTAATCAATGATCATGACGTCAGTACCGGCATCTTCGGAATCCTCGACCAATAATTTTGTTTCTAAAAATAGATTCAGAAAACCCTTGAAAACATCCGGCGGAAATGCCAAATCGCCAACTTTGGTCAAATGGGACATTAGCCAAATCGTTCAAGTGAGAAAAGTAGAATTAACTCTATTCAATTATATTACTTAACAAGTTATTGATTAAAAAAACGAATGTTGATTTTGATAAACAATTTGATCAATTTCGTGGAAAAAATGACCAACAAATGAAGGAAGAACTATGGATTAAGGATTAGTCGTCTAAATATTGGACTGATTAATCTTCTCTACAAATCAAAATAAAGACTGGAATATCATTCCTATCAATTTAACTACTCAACTCATAGGAACTAATGAGCATTGGGGAAAGTTTAGCCGAATGAGTGGAATATATGGACAATAAAAAAAAGTCAGGATGATCAACTCTTTGTTAATTATTCAGTCTGGATGCATGAAACCGACTTGAACTAATAGCACCCAAGCTTCTCACCAATCCGAGATGTTCAGTAGTGACTTTAGAGGAAAGTTATCCATATATCACCTCACTCACAACTTAAACGCCAAATACGACATATCGTCTCATATCTCACAAACTAAAACTTGTCAGTCCCTTGTTTTCTGGGAGATGTGAAAGAAATATATCCCAAATCAGCTGCCAAATCTTCAGTTTCGAAATCAAAAATTTTGTGCACAAAATAGCTGTATTTTCCCGACTTCGATACAAGTAATTCCGAACAAACCGTGACTAGAAGGTTCCGAGTGAACTTTTATTCAGTGGCTTAATAGTGTTTACTAATTGCAGATTGGATGGTGATATATTGATCCAATAAAATTTTAGTGTGACTCAACTGATGTTCGAGTTTTCCCCTCCAACATATTGAACGATGTTTTCTATCCAATATCGAGAACTAATAGTTTTAGCATATGGAAAAAGATGAATACGCTAATCGGGATTTGACAGAGATGCCATTTTATATTTTTCAAAAATTCGCTCTTTTACATTTTCATTGATTAGTGTTTTAAGTTGCTTTTGCACCCGAATAAAATATATATTCTACTAACTATTGCTCTTCAAGAATATCTCCTCTATGAATGAAATGTTGTTCTTTTTACAGGTAATTTTCTGGTTGTATCACCGAGTTGCGCCCCCTGTATTGATATTTTAGTATTTCACACTCTTTATACAATACTCTCTAATTATAAGGCATGTGCACTTTGCAAAGGTGACCAAATTGCCAATTAGGCCTTTAAATGTTCATAGTTTTTGTGATAATATATCTAACAATTTGATCGATATGGTGTTATGGTGATATGAGAATTTAACTCTTAGAAAGTACGGGCCAAGATCTGAGGCGAAGACTATTCATTTAAAAGTGCTGGATTGCTGGTTTGCTAAGTAATGTTTTGTTACTTTTCACAATGATTACATTTTTGGGGGATGGTACCGACAGTTTCTGAATCAGCTGAAATTGTATTAGGTGTCTGGATGAAACTGGTTCGGTCTTTTGGTCAATCAATATTAATTTTGACAGATTTTAGTATAGGTATATGGCATCATCTGTTCTATCATTTCATCATTATGTACAAATTGTAGATATTAGTAGATGTATATATAGTAAATACCCATAAATTTATGATAATATTCATATTGGGCTCTAACCTGTTTGCAGTTTATATATTATTCAATGCATATTATTATGGGAATGATGACCAAAAGCCGTGAAAATTGACAGTGGCACCATAAATCCCCACGATGTCAAACTATTACAAACTTATTACATATACTTATGCCTTAACTGCAATACTTAAGTAACCTTTCTTGTATCATGGAAGTTTGTAAAAGAAGCGAATTGATTGCAGTTTGCAGTTTACGCCAACGAATACACCCAATCAGAGTCTTCGACAGAAAGACTGTAAACATTATGTTTTGTCTTTACAGGTTTTCTATCAAAGGCCTCTGATTTGTATATTTACTGCATTCGCTAGCATACATTCCAATCAATTCGCTTCATTTGAAATTAACTTCCATGGTAGAACTACAAGAAAGGTGACTATTGCAATCAAGGTACTAGTACGAAATTTGTTATAGCTTTCGTCGTGAGATACTTTGCCCCCGACGCAGAGTTGACAGAGTTTGTCTGATGTCACTTGATCTTCCTTCAATTTCAAGGCCACTTTTACTCCTCGGCAATATTAATCATAATGTACTTGTATCATTATAATGAAAAGGAAGGTAATACTAGTTTTTCTTAGAACTTAACTATCAATATTATATATGATGACATTCATAGTTTTTTACTAAACCAAAAACTGACAGTTAAAAATCACTCTATCTATCATGTTCGACATTTCTATATAAATTTATATTGCGTTTTTAATATTATAATAGTTGGGCAATAAACTGTCACCGAATTTTTACAAAACTTTTTGTAATCTTCAAAGATCTTCTCGAAACTATATAAATTTCGTTCAATGTTTAAAGGAAGTATAATTGATTAGATGGAATTGTAGCTCGTCTTTTCCAAAGTTCTTAGTATGAAGCTGTGAATTTCAACCAATTAAAACGACTCTTTTCATACGAGAAAAGTTGCACATTCACTTATAATATTCTCCATTTTCGTGTGTATGATCATATTTACAAAACAAACCATAAGTAGGAGCGCGTTGATTGGCTGGTATTAAAATTACTGATTTTTTACCCTGGTCCATATAACGAAATTTACCTACTAAAGTGAAACATGGTAAAATTATTTAATAGTTTCGGACGTGTTGATACGATAATCGGGAAGGAATACATTAAACCGAGAGCTTCTTCATCTCTTTTTCTAGTCTAGAAATTCCACGTAAACATGTTGGTTATACAATTTTGTGGTTCAGGAATTTTAATGGTGAACATTCATTTACTGGTGTTTCATGATGTTTAAAAATTGACACAGTTCTATTGTAGACGAACGAAACCCTAATTATCTATCTAGAACAAGTTCAGGGTCTGACAGATTCACGTGCGCTGCAACTCTGATAACACTGTTTGACAATCAATAAGTATGATTATCATCAAGATAAACTCTAGCCTTGGTTGATTATAATCAGTAAAGGGATCGTTTACATTTTTAACTACATGTTTTATCAAAATTTCGTCAGCTTATCCTTGCAAAAAAGATAAATTTGCCTGTTATCTCAATGTGAACCATGTCATATTCACAACGCTATGCAAGTGCCTCCGAACTGAAAACTCACATCAAATACGCGAAATAAGATGGCAATCTGCGGGTGGGAAATAGGATTGGTACCAATAGGTGATATAAGTGTCCTAAATACCTATAAACGTATATGGGGGAGGGGGGGGGGGGGGCATGGCCCCCAGAAAAAAAGGCTGGCTCGGCTTTGGGCGCCCCACCCCCACACTTTAAATTTTTTTTTTATCATTTTGCATAGTGAAAGGATGGCATGTGGTCACCATAAAAAAATTTGTGGCCCCTGCTCGCCCCTCACCCGAAACGCCACAGTCGGAAACAATGTTTTTGGATCTCTTAAGACATTAAGAACTTCCATTGCTCATTAAGTAAAATTAACCTTCCTTGATTATTGAAGAAGGTATATTATGCGGTATAAAGCCAGGTGTTACACTCTGTGTCCAATGTACCCGCCAAGATAATGCTTTACAGATATACCATCTTTTAATTGACGAATGAAATTTGTACACATGTAAATATGCATAATAGAAATGTGTCATAGTGTTGTGAGAGGTTAATTTGATTAATTGATAGTGATTAGAAATGGTATGCTAACCTTTGTAGGTGCATATTAACAGATTAGTGACAAATTTTACTCCATAAAACTGAATTCTATGTTGTTAACGAGAAAACGTGATGTAATTCGTTGGATGTTATGCATAATTTAATGAGCTTTGACAATCATTATTATTTAAGGTGGTAGCGCAATGTCGCAATAGCAAGATTTCTGTTCTTTAACGGAATGTGTTGAAAAAGCACTGTTCTTCTTTATGGTGAGGATACAACAAAAGTTAACCACAGATATAAACCGAAACATATTCAGCCTCTGATAGCTATTTTGAAAGTTGTCGGCTGGTCAAATTATCTATTAGGATCTGTTATCGATGAAGATGTTTCGAACTACCACTGAAAAGTATCTGTTAGAGACTCATCGTTTCCCGAATACAGGTTTTGAAAATATGGTTTTATCATGGGGGCTTGGTTTGGACACGATGTCAGAGACTAGGTTTCGCTATATTCTGAAGGAAGGTAGGTCCCTATCAGTTGATTACCTAACCAGTCTTTTTGTCAAGGACTAATCTACAATTATCAGAATCTAGAACGTCTTTTATGGTTCATTTTGATAAACTACTTTTAATGATAGCTAGCATTATTGTCGGACACAGAAATTAATGTTTTATCTATAATATTTTATCAAAGGTTAAATAGAAGAGGAGCCAATATG